AGATCATATTAACAGGTCCCAGTGCGTCATCCCCCACAGCATACAGATTTATACCTGTTGAACAAGGCACACTCTGTGAATATATCAAAGAAATCACCTCCATAATGTGACTCTACCATGGTATTGGGCAACAATCTGTGTAACTTCACCTGGCAGGTAATAATTTGAATATGAAGGTGTTACTGGACTGCTTGAGCTTTTAATCCAGTTGGGACCTTGTCTCTAACAGTAGAGGAAGAAGCAGGGGAGCTGAGGTTATGTGGTTCCACCTTCAGTCCCTCTTGCTTCTACCTCCAGAGCGGTCTTCTGCTGAGCTGGCACCTATGATGCTTTCTATGCAAACAGTATTCAAAATAGGTTTTACTATAACTTTGTATAGAAGTTTCACAGTCAAGCAAGTGAATTCACCTCAAAGTCCTCTGACCCAGACTTATGTATGAAGTCCTTGTGAACTGATATATACAAAACATTGGTACTTTAAAAACTGCATATATTACTGTTACTGCCTTCCCCTGCAAAAGCTGTATATTCTCCTAACAGACAAAAGCAAGATCCATGACAAGTAAGCACTGGCACAGATTTTTAAGGATCAGTATTCTGCACCCAGCTGGAGACGTGCTGTGATTTATGTTTTCTGCACATCAGTTCTCCATTAGTAAAACATGGACAGTTGTAAACCTGCTAAAACGTAGCCTTAGTTCAGAAGTGATTTATCTCTAATTGTACATGATATTTAACCATCATTGTTAGTTTTTTTCTTCTTTTGTGGTGGGAAAGTGCGTACAGGAAATTGCATTTCCACCTCTCCAACTTTAACCTCTAAAAAGGGGCTGCATATTTGGACACAGCATGAATAAAATGAATCTTATTTTTCCGTATTTTGTGATGATGCTGCCATCTAGAGTGTAAAAGTAATACTGTGTCCAGAAACACCATCAGCAGTATTTAATTAATGGATTTTTTATTAACAGCAAGTATAATCATAATAATACATTTTCTCTATTTTGTTCCACTGCCGCCACCTAGAGTTATAAAACAAGTATATTATTTTTCTAACTAAAGCTATTTAATTAGTGGCTCTTTATATTTGTGGGTGATACCTTACTTTTCCACCATTTTCTCATTGCTTTGGCTTGTCTCTTTGTCCTGAATGTCAGTATAACCCAAGTACTGCATCTACTGTTCTGTTTTAAAAAATTAATGAAGTGGTTAAGCCAAATAATTAACCTTTTTAGGTTTTTAAAGGTCATCTTTAAATAAGAAAATATCTTAGGTGAGCCTAACATTTTTTTTGCTGGTTGCAGGACATCATTCATAATAAAAATTGGACTTAATATTCATGTGAGACCCCCTAATCAGAGTTAATAGGAAAAAAAAAAAGGCTGCCATTGTCATTAACAATGACAGAGAGCTGCTGTTACTCCTGTAAAAAACCCCAAGATTTTACAGAATCCTCTTTTTTTTTTTTTTTTTTTTTTTTTTTTGTGTGGCACAGAAAGCAACACACATGTCTTGGGGACTGTAAAACAATCAATAAAAGAAAATAATGAATAATAGGTTACCAAACCTGCAGTCACTGGTGCATGTGACCTCCTTGTATATTTGAAGGTTCAAAAGAAGTCTCCTTTGATGCCTAGTAGGTAACTACAGAAGTTCCTGGAAGAAATCCTAGGCATTCTTGTTCTTTTAGCCTATTTAATTTTTAGACAGCTTTGGATGACTGCACTGGAGGTAACAGCAACCCTCCAAGATCAAACATCCACCAACTCTTTACCTGGATTGTTCCTTCTTCTTTGCTGATGTAATCACTTTCATTATCCCTCTTCAGGTGGCCTCAACAGCTTACTTTGTTGGGAATCCTTAGCTTGTCATGTCTAGTGGAAACAGTAGCACTTTCTATATCTTTGTTTGACAGCTCTATTACAGTGCCTCAAAACTCAGGAATTTAATACATAGGCCTCCTCAATATCTCTAATGGCAAAATTCATGAAAAAAAAAAAAAACACCAAACCCTTTTCTTGGACTTTGATCACACAACTTTCTCTAGCTGGCTGTTCTTGGTTCCTAGTTCCTCTAGCTGTGCCCCTTGCCTTCTTTCACCTACCTATGAAGTAAAGCCAATGTCCTGGTTTTGTCTTTTCAAACTATCTTTATGAAAACTAGTCATAGCTCTTGTCACAATGGCTTCACCTTAATAGCAACATGAAAGTCACACATGCTTCTGTATATCCTCCAAATAGCTCACCCCAGGAAAACTGCTGCAGATAACACAGGTAGCCAAATCAAGCAAGGTTTTATTCTCAGGTTGGTGTCATTTGTCTTTATGATTGTAACATGGAAAATTTTGAATAATACATCCAATCTGTTCTGCAGTTTCTCAAAGAATGTCCTAGACATAAATGCATAGGTATTTACAGATTTAAGCAGAATCAAATGAGAAAGAAAGCTAAACAGGGGATATATGAAGCTCAGATACAGAGCTGGCAGAACAGAAACTACAATTTGATCTGTTATTGTCTACCAATCAAAGCTATTAACAGCATGTAGCGTAACAACAAAATATCTCACCTCTGCTTGTCTTCTCATTGTAGAAATAAAAGAATTAATAATGGCATGAAAGATATGTCTGGAGGAAAGAGCCACAAGAGTCCAACATGTATAAAGGATGAAGAGGGAATGGTCTGGGGATAGAAAGTGCCCCTGTGAAGCTGGAAGGAAGGACTCACAATTGGCAATGTCTGAGCATTGGGAGAGCACCCACAGTGTCTGACACAATGAAGGAAAGGGGTGCTTCAGGGCATTCCTGAAAATTTAATGGAATGGGAAAGTGGCAGATAGGACTTTGGCAAGCTAGATGGACAGATAGCAATTGCTTAGTGTAAGGAAAGGCCTAAAAAGCAGTCTCTTGAAGTATTCATCACCATGAATAGTGATTACTGGGGTTTTTTTTCAACAGTGAGCTTATTATTACTTGAGTAGATATCTGAATTTATTCAATAACTATTATTTTAACCACTTAGCTTTCTTTTGATGTTAAAGGTTCAGTACAATGGATTTTATATCAATGTGTTACCTTTTGCTAAAAGCACACAAAGAACAAAGTGCTTAAGAGATTTAAGAAAAGCGTTAGCATCCCGATCAGCAGACAAGGTCTACCCAATACACGATAGTTTGATTCTGCAGCCTGCTCTTCAATCCAAATTCACATGGGGATCCCTGTTGCATTGTTTCAAGTGCTATTTTCATCTCCTAATGTGATTCAGAATGGTTTACACTTAAGAGTTCCCATTCTGTTTACATTATTAAACAAGCACAGCTTTTTCTTTTGACAGTAAGTGGTCAGGCTCATAATGCCTCTAGTAATTATCTTCACTGAATACCAATATTTATTTTGAAATTTACATCCAGGAACTAATCAGGTACAAAATCCTGCTTTGAAAATATATTTAGAGTCTGAGAGAGAACTGCTCCCATGTGATCACAGCTTTGTCCTTGAGCTGTTTGGTCATATATGCATGTTTGCTCTTATACTGTAACATTTTTTTCCTGAGTGGTAGGCATTTGCATTATATAAGCAAGTCATACAAAGTGGAGAAAGGTAGTACAATTTATTAGAACAAATGCTATAAATGGGATAATGACAAGCTTTTCAGTGCATATCTCTGTCTTCAGGTTTGAAATAGACACAGCAAAATTTAAGCTGGGGTTTAATACAGTTATACTATCAGCTACTTCTTAGCTACACATGCTTCTTCTGTGGAGCCATTTTGAAATGTTTTACAGTTATCCTACATTTATGAGAACCAATTTATCCTACCTTTTAAGCTTTTGCTAACTCTGTTTTCTCTAGTTGTGCCAAGGTATGTATTTCTAAGGAATGCAATTCAATTCAAGTCTGTATCTGTTTGCTAACACTATAATTTGGAAAGAAGAATTTCTCAGTAGCTCTCAAAATATTCAGTCAGTTTACTGCAGCAATTTCTTTGGCCCCTTTATTCTTTTACCATAAACATTTGATCAGGTCAACCTCACATTATAGAGATTCATTAGCTGTGGTCTGAACCATAATGGTTGATGATCCAATCCAACTGTTTAGTATAAAGAAAAATTATTTTTGCCCAGTTACATTGTGGACCAAAGGAGCCTTTAAAAACCACTGTACAGCAAGGAAAAAAAAAACAAACAACAACAAACCTGCCCCCCTGGGATTACTTCAGTACTTTATTCCATGACTGACTGTTGAAAAAGACACTGTTGACTGGAATGTGCTGAAATGTAGCCACTGAACTAAAGAATCACAATCATCCATCCTTTCTCCAGATCCATAAATGTTTAAACTGCAGCAGCCTCCAGAGAATGAACCAGCGCATGTGCTCCACTTGTCTTACCTGTGAGGCAGTGTAATACATAGGCTGAGCTTTAGGCAGAATGTTAGGCATCTGAAGAACTTCAAAGTGTGTACAGCTTTGGGATACACATCTCCAGTGTTAGATAGCAGCTACACGGAGCATCTGAGGAAATTCTGGTAAAGTCCCATTTTAAAAACAAATCCCTCTGTAAATCTCTTTCCACAATAAATAGATTATAAATTCCACCTAAGAATTTTCATCAAAGTAACAAGTCACAGCTTGTACCCCAGAGTTTACCAGAATTGCACATCTTTGGTCTTTACTGTTGAGATTGTTTCACAGAGAAGAGCAAATTTTAACAGCAGGCAGAATGTGTGTGTGGGGTCAGTATCCACATTCACTTTGAATAAACAGCTAGTTTCCAAAAGAAGGCCTTTCCTGGTTTATTGCAGTATTCAAAACTTTGGATTTTGAATTAAATGTCTCAATTTTACTATATAGGGTCTTAGTGTGTACAGGGCGACTTCCAGTTCCAATCTTCCAGCTATCTTGAGGTTTAAAAGAAGTAAAAAAAAAACAACAAAAAAAACCAACCCCAAAACAGAATGGAGTTTTTCCTATCTAGCAAAAAATAGTCAGTCAACTCCAACTCCAGGTATAGGCAAACTCTTTTAATTTATTCATAAATCCAGTCTAAAAAATCTAAAACATTAGCTGTAGAACTGTATCATGCTGGTCTCCCTTAATAGTTCTGGCAAGATGAAAGCAGAATTTTGTACACCACTTCCAGCAAGCCCATAATTTACCCTCATATTGCAGGACTAAATTACAGAGACCAGGAAATGCATATATTTATCAAATAGCATTAATGTTAATTTTTATTGTTTGGCCACTGCTTTATTTCTAAAGCAGGCCACTAACAGACTTGTGGTTGTCCAAGCATTATTACATATTCCAGCAATAGCCAGGAATGCAAAGTATCAGTCTGGAAAGCTAACTACCATCTAAAAGCAATGGTTGGTAGATATAGTACAACCCTCAAATTTCTTCCTCTATTAAATTAAATAGATGGTGCTACTTTTCCCTATTGCCCATTTCTTTTTTTTTTTTGTGTGTGTCTAATTTCATCAAAACAAAGCTGAATTTGCAAAATCACAGCGATTTCCATGGCAACAGATAGTGATGTTATGATGCCCACTGTGGGAGCAAACAAAACAAGTGAACAAACTGTCAGGATAAGGAAGAAGTAGGAGCACTTTATAACCATAAAGATGCATTTCTAAAATCACTGCTGTTTGATACTATATCCATTTCATAGCCCTCCATGACCACTTTTCTCCCCCCAGCCATAATTCTTTACAGAAATTAAGACCATGAGTTAAAGGGATGATCTAATACACAGTAAAGTCAATGGAAAGTCTGACACCGTTTTCTTGGGAACTGGACTGGACAAGAGAGCAGGCCACTGTGAGTGTGATGTAGGTAAGCGTTATTATTCTTGTTTAAAGGGGGTATAAAATAACTTGCTGCCATGACATTAATCTAGCAGCATGTACTAGACCTTTGAAAGATTTATCACAGGACTGTTAAATGACAGAATTCTTGTCCTATTTTTTACTAAATTGTAATCTAACATTCTACTTACTCCAGATTTGCATCTGCCCAATAGGATGAATTATACTTAGAAACTGAGTTTCTATTTACTTTAGCAGAGACAATCCTTTTCAGTATTATTACAGGGTCAAATTTAAAATTTCATTTTAAGTTCAAAATCAAACCAGTGGAGTTCAAAAAAATTAGGATAGACACAACAACAAAAAAGAGGGAAAAATGAATTCTGCTTCATTATATTAGCAAGTTGACTATAATGTTATTTCTAGAAATATAAATATTACTTATATACAAATATATATTAAATATATATATATCAGTTCTGCTGCCACTGAAGCCAATGGAGATTTTGTTTCAATTATCCACACTGTCAGGTTTATATTTTAAAAAAACATTTTATTATAAAGAGATATATATTTTAAAAGTGCCCCTTTGATAAATGGCAGCAGCAGAATGGGATCTTTGAAAAAGGTCTTTGAAGCATGCAGTTTTATAAGCTCAGTGCCTTCAGAAGCTTCTAAAGTAGTTATAGACAAATGGAGACAGCTAAGGCTTTGCACACTTTCTTCAAACATAAGTGAGTGACTAACATAAAATTCTAGTGGCCATTAAAACTTCAAAGGAGAAGTATGACCTGAATATTACTTGTCATAGTACAGGATTTGTTACTGGAAGATCTGATCAACTTTTTAAATTATAGTATCTCTACCAAATACCAGGATCATAACTTAAATTATTCTGCCTTAAATAATATTTAATACCTGAGATTTCAGTTATGATACCAGTGAAAGCAAGCTCTAGCTGTATGGTCATAGGATGCTGGCTCCCCCTCCTTGCTTCCAGCTACATCTTGTCTCTATCTCGCTAAAGCTGCTGTCCTCATAATTTATTCTACCTTCTTCCTGCCTCTCACGATATCTGCCCAGAAGGCCTTTCCTTCTGCTGCAGGCAATAAAACTGTCCTCTATTCTTGCAAATTCCTCTTCACAACTTGGTTTTCCCCCCAATATTTCTTGAGCTATGACCAAACTTTCTAGCCGTCCTACAATCATACAAATACTTACGACAATCAATCAAGAAGATAAGAAGTTGCTGTTAACAATTCATCTATTGGTTATCTATCCCCATCAGAATTGTGGCAACTGTTTGTGTGAATAGATAAGCCTTTGAAAAAATCTAGTGAACTACTAGTCTTGAATATATTTATTATCCCATTCTTTGCCTGCTCTATGTCATCTGTTCTCAGGTCCTATTGTATCTCTCTTAGATGAAACCATTCAGAAACAACTAGAGAATTTGAATGACTGACCTTTATATATAGAGAGAAGGAAGACAATTGGGTCTTTTTCTTTAGGTCTCAGAACTAATATAACTTTTTATAGATCCTCTGCTTATGGATGAAAAAATATTACCTGTATTTTATCCTATCTTGGGCTTTTGAGCTAACTGTTGTGAAGTTATTTGGACAACTTCTTTGTAAGCATAGGGTTGGATAATTGAGTCCAAAAGTTATTGCTTACTACATATCCAGAAATACAAAACAACAACAACAAAAAGAAATATGGGAATGCTTATTACTCATCTGGATTGACCATTTAGATTGACCAGTCACAGGGAGTGGAAATATCAAACAAAATGTACAGTGATTGCTATTGAGGGTGATACTTGGTAGAAAACAATCTAGAAACCACTGCACAGCCAAAACGAACTTCTACAGAATCTGCATACTTTCACATTTTTCATTGTTTAGAAAAATTACATGACCTATGGTTTTAGCTGGGCTAGAGTTAATTTTCTTCATAGTAGCAAGTATGCAGCTGTCTTTTGGATTTGTGCTGGAAACAGAGTTGACACTTCAGGGATGTTTTAGTTACTGCTGAGCAGTGTCTCACAGAATCAAGGCCTTTTCTGCTTCTTACCCCACCCCAACAATGAGGAGGCTGGGGGGGGGGGAGTGGCACAAGTTTTTGGGAGGGGACACAGCCAGGATGGCTGACCCTGACTGACCCAAGGGATATTCCACACTGTATGATGTTATGCTCAGTATTTAAATCAGGGGGAAAGGGGGTATGCTCAGAACAATGTCATTTTGTCTTCCCAAGTAACTGTTATACATAGAATCATAGAATCATAGAATGGTTAGGGTTGGAAAGGACCTTAAGATCCTCTAGTTCCAACCCCCTGCCATGGGCAGGGACACCACACACTAAAACATGTCACATGATGGAGCCCTGCTGTCCTGGAGATGGCTGAACACCTGCCTTACCATGGGAAGTGGTGAATTAATTACTCGCTTTGCTTTGCATGTGCACACAGCTTTCACTTTATTTATTAAGCTGCCTTTATCTCAACTCAGTTTTCTCACTTTCACCCGTCCAATTCTCTCCCCTGTCCCACTGGGGGGCAGTAGGTGAGCAGCTCTGTGATACTTAATTGGCAGCTGGGGTTAAACTATGAAAGTTGCATAAACTGTTTTAGAGAAATCTCTTAGGAAGCCGAAAATACAGGATACATAAGTGGTTTTGAAGAAGAATTTAAGGCTTGTTTTTGCAGATTTTTGTTCCATTATTGTAGGAAGCTGTCAAGGTCAGCAGAGGGCTGAAAAAAGTTTTGAAATCTGCAATTCCCAGAAAATGTAAACAGTCTTTAGAAAAATATATGACCCTTCTCTCTTCAAATGAATTCTTAGCCATGCCCATTAGATGTAAGAAGCCTTTTAGCTTGCCAGAATTATCTGCAGGAAAGTCAGTCATAGTTCTTCTAGCTACCATCAATGATAAATGGACGTATTTCTCTTATTGCTTTAGTTAGGAAGGTTCTCTATAATTAGAATTCAAATGCAGGTGCAATGGCATGAGTCCCTAAAGCTGATAATGAGTAGAAAAAAATAGTTGAGATGAAACACTCAGAATACCAAGCTTTTCCACTATTGTTTTAATATATATTGATCACAGCAGAAAGATGACCGAATTCAATAAGATGTAATGTAAAGTGAGCATTAATTATGTTAAACATGTAATGAAATAGTATTATAACTTTGAAATACTGTTTAAAATTGTACAATGTGTAAGTCCTGGTTATTACAGTGACATGAAATAGTCCTTAAAACCAAGCTGCAAGATTCATGTCCATTAATCCAAAACCGCCAGAACACAAATAATACTCGGTAAAGAACTGAGTCACTGAACTCACATTCTTAGCAGATTTTTTTTTCTTTTTTTTTAAGGGAAAAAAAAACAAAGAAACAGCAACCAACCAAACAAACAAAAACAAGACCCCACCAAAATTCATGTTGGCAATTCCATGAGACAAAAGCAACAACTAGCAGCTTAGGGAAGCAACTACAAGTAATCTCTGAAAAGTACTTTTATGGGACAAAATACGACGAAGTCAACCCCTGTGACTAAGTTGTCTGAGTGTTCCTAAGTGAGAGGTGGGAAAGGACTCCATAATCAAGGAGGATTTCTTGCCTTTGTAACTGTATTTTCAATTTTGCAGTCAAGAAGTTTACCATTTCCAGTGCTAGAACTTCTGCATAAATTTAGATAAAACTGGCAATCATGGAAACTGTTCCTCTAGAAGAAACCACAAATCTCTAAAAATTAATCAGAAGTGAGCTTAATCGCCCTTATTGTATTCTGCTATTCTGCCAAGATGTAGTTTCATGGCTCTTATTTACAAATGTCATTTTCAATGCAAACCTGCTATAGTGAATATAAATCAGTGGTCTAGTAAAAAGAATACAGCAACCAAATGGATGACAGGTTGACTGTCCTAAGTTACATAAAGACAGCAAGGCTGTCTTTAAACTTTTTAAAAGTTTCTTTAACTTTTTAAAAGAAAAGTTAGCAAAAATACCCTAATAAATTACTGAGGATGAAGAGAATTTTGCATGTAATGGAAACTCTTGCTATTGCTCAACTGGATTTGTTTTATGAAAGTGCAGCTCTACGTACACATATGAATTATAAATTAGTTTACAGCATTTTCACAATTCCTCCATGATGACATATTTGGAGCAACCTTCAGACTAGTCCAGCACCAAGTGCTAAGAACATAAAAATTGCCATTCTAGACTAAATCAAAGGTGTTTTCTGTAGTTCTTCTGATAGTGGCCAACAGCAAAAGTTTAGAGAATAGTGAGGATAGGGCCAATACAAAGGCAAATTCCCCTCAGAATGGTGATTGGTTATCTCTAAAAAAACACTTGGGGAATCGGAAGACAAAGGAAATGTACACTCCGCTTATTCACCAAATGTAGGCTCAAAAGAAGGTACTAATATCCATGCAATTGGGTGATTATACACTTACATTAAAGGTAGTAAAATGCCAATACTAAACTCACGAAAACAAATCAACAGCCAGTAACAGTAAACTTTTGCAGAACAGGCTTTTAAATTATTAATTCTTCAAGGTGTCTGTTTTCCTGGCAACAAGATTTCTGTCATGCTTTTTTGGTTTTATTGTTCTACAGATTGCTCCCAGGGCCTGATCTCCTGAAAGCTTTTTCCTGAATGTTGGCTATAGAGCTGGGAGCACAGAAGTGAGAAGTATTCCAATCTTCAAGAATTAGCTACAGGCTTACT